CGATTCCGAAGCTGGAGAGCTTCAGAAGGTAGCCCGCGACTCGTACGCTTATGTACATCTAACCCCTGAGGTCTTGGCACCCCATGTTCGTGACAACCAGTCGCGCAGAAGCCGATAGCGGGGAGAACGTAGGTAGTGCCAATCGCGGCGAGGGTGCCTGTGCCAGCGGCGATGGCTGAGTAGACGTCAGACAGAAGTCAAGATGATGTCGGGAGAGACAATACCTGGACCAGCGTAGCTTTTAGCTGTTAGGACCACGTTCATTTCGACAATGAAGAGACAAGGTAAGGCTAGGCCTATTAGAGCGTACTGCGGGCTAGGGAGAACTGATTCTAGCTACGAGGTGTCGATACGGAAACGTATGAAACTAGTTCTTTGCTGTGACGCGCAGATACGTTCATTGCCAACAGCAAATGTGACCAATGGCGCTGGCTAAGGAGGACGTTGACGCTTCATATACGAAGTTGCAGGCTACAACCGGAATGTTCCCCAATCCTAAGGCCTAGCGGATAAACCCCGGCTGGCATTTCGAGGAAGCCCACTCCAACAGAAAACCCCTCGTTGAAGACTTAAAATGACACCAGTCCAGCAGTACTGTAACGTCATATATTTACAACTCCTACGATGATTGGACAATTTTGCATGCTACGCTAAACTAAAAGAAGAGAAGCGTACTCGGAAATAGATCACTCGACTAATCCCGGGACGAGTCTGCGCCAGCCGAACAGGACACCGAATTCGCACATCACTTTACATTCGCCATAACGTTCTCACCGCACCTCTTGTTTGCCTCTCCTGGTATTTTTCCCGACCAGGTTACAGCTTCATGCCATCCAGGTGGTGACGCCGTCCTGGCCACGGACTTTATCCGGGCCGTTGTCGATGGTGCTTCCTCTTCTTCCACCGAAGGCGGCGTCATCTGATTCTGTGAAAAGGACAATTATCTACTGTAAGCAGCCTGAAGTGGCGAATCCTGTCATTGGGTATGGTACACGTATGAGTATTCACGTGCCTGAAAGGATGATCTGTACGCGAGCGCAGGAACAGAACCTCCTGGTCGGCAAGACCCCTTTAATTCGAGGTTTTACGCAAAGCTACCCAGCCAAAATATTATTGAAATCTCCTCTCAACCACAAGATTCAGCTGATCACACTAATTTATATCTCAAATATCCAGATGCACAATGTAATGCACGCGGAAGGCCCAGGCAATGACCATTGCACAATTTGTGACCGCCTTACAATTCCCAATCTCCAATTTCTTAACTATGTCTCTCGATCTCCTTGACAGTCCCGACATATTATGCTGTCGACACATCTTGCCTCCTGATGCGCGAATAACTGCCGACTTTACCCTGACGAGACGTGGCTAGATGGCTGACATTGAAGAGGGAAGCCTTTGTTGGGCCAGGGTTGCTGTGCTCCAGAATTTGATCCAGGTTATATCTTCAAACCTTCTCGCAATGCTTCTTCCGCGTATCTGAAATCTCATCATGTCCGATTTTGGACGAGCAAACTCACAGTTTCTCCAACGAAACGAAAACGGACACTTAAAATCGCAAAGGTGCGCCTGAAAGCGGCATAAAATGTCTGACATGAAGCGCAGAAGTATTCCTTGCTAACGGTGATGACCGGACCTGGGCTAGCGGCAGCAAGTCGTCGAAGAAGCTCCGCAGGTCTCCTGATACAGAGTCTTCGTCCTCATCAGTGTATTTAACGAGGGTATGATGGTGGACAAGGTAAGTCAGCAACTGAGGCTCAACGTGTGAAGCGGCGCGAATATCAGATGGAAGGTCGAGATATTTGCGCAGCTCATCCGCTCTGTTGGCCCACAGATTGTTGTCGAGAACATTGCGCCAGCCCTGGAAGATTAGCCGCTCATTGCGGTTACTAATGGGTAATTTGAGCCCCGATCAAGTTCTGCAAAGGCCTTGTAGGGTTGTCCATCCGGGACCAGAAGAATAGTTTTAGGTCTGTACAGAGCAAGATTTCCGTCTGCCATCCTCTGGAAGAATGACAAACCACGACGAGAATGGTCTTCAGCTCCCAGCGAATGGACGGGGTGATGAGACAATCGCTTCAAGTGGCTCACAACCCTGGCGCGTTGATCATCCGCATCGTTGCCTTCTCTGTATACACGACCTCCTCACGAACGTTGCTCGCCTTTATTGCGTAATGAACCTAGAGCCAGATCCAACGCATTCATACCGTTCGCATCCCGTGCTTGAATATGTACTCCTTGGGCTGTAAGATATTGCACAGTTTCAAGACGGCCCCACAGAGAAGCTTCCATAAGAGGTGTTCTGCCAAAATGATTGCTTTGGTCAATGGCCGCGCCTCGATACTGGAGCCATTTTATCGTCAATATTCCGTTCTCTTCCGTAGCAGCCAACAGAACGCCATTGTCACCATCCTCATCAAGTTGTGAAACAAAATCGTCGTCCGGATAATCTTCAAAAAGGCGATGCAATTCCCCGATGTCTCTTCGCGCACATGCGGATGTGTAGGCAAGGTGGCGAAATTCGGAAGATTCATAGGGGTCTTCAGGTAGGGCTTCGAAGCTTCGTCGAGGAGGAGGTCGGGCCGGAACGTGCTTGCTAGAAACCTTCCTCCCTGCGAATCAATATTCACTCAGCAATCCTTTCCTCCCACCCGCAGTGCACGCATTCCAGAAGCAGGGGAGGTTAGTTCCAAGCACCTCACAATGGTACGCCTACACCTCCAAACCCAATTTGTGGATTTTAGTGCGCGGTCAAGGAAATCAACAACCGTAGTGATCATGGTCCATGTACCCCTGGGTAAGTTGGTTGACCGTGGGAGGTGCTCAATAATCCCTTTACACGTGTGCCCAATAGTAACGATATTCCCTTGAACTAACATTGGACAGCACTGGGAGAGTTACCGACGCCAGTGAAATGCAGTGTCACGAGAGAGGAACGTAGCTTATGAAGGTGAGGAATCTGATCGCAGAGTTTCAGCCTCCCAAGGCTGAGAGCCCTCTGCACATTCTCTGTGCCTTCAGCGACTTTGGCTACGACAAGGCTCTGCTAGACTGGACAACGAACGCCCAAGGCATATGTTTGTCTGTCACAATTCCCGCTCGTCACGCGCCCCCAGTCCCGTGGGTGATTCGTGGAAAAAAATTGTGCCTGACGCCTCGCCACTTGAGAAGGTCATGGAGCGGACCAGGGGCGTCCACTTTCTCGTTTATCGTCCTCTCTCCTCAGATTCTTCGTGCTTGCCTTTGACATAGCTCTCCCGGTAAAAGGGGCCCGTCCGCCAAACACTCCTAGGCGCCCGGGTTTCATAAAGCACTCCCTTATCATCCACCCACTGGAGGAGTTCCGCGCGAGTCTGCAAAGATTCCTGTAACTTTGCTGCCAATCCGTCAGCATTCCTATCTCGTGGTCCTTTATTGCAGGCATTGGTTGTAAGAATATCGCTTTCGAAACGGATACCGCGTTCAACCCGTGCGTCGATACATGAAGATTGGACCAGACATCGCCTAGGAGTTCCACTCCCGTCTCGGCGTTGAACGAGGAATCTAAAGAAGCCCTCGAGACCGTTCCGACATTCGAGGGGATCTGCCGCCCGGACTCTTAGGGCGAAGGTTTGCAGTGGGTGTTTTTCCACCGCCCAACGAGGTAGTTTGAACCAGTCCCCGTTTGTATACGTCCCCGTCATCGAAAAGTGGGAAAGGTGGGGACAATCGAACTTCTTGCGAATCGACCAGGCAAGGCGACCCAGGTCGCACCAGAGGATCTCTAGCACCGCCAATCGTTCGAACTTGACAGGGCGCTTGAGACGGGTAGAGGTGGAGATCCCCGATAAGAATAAGTGCCGGAGACTTTGTCCTACGAACGATAACCAGTTGAGCGACATGCTTAGTTGATGAAGACAGAGGAGCCGTAAGCGAGGCGTGTCTTGTCTTGATTTAACGAAATCCTTCACCTCCAACTCAACCCGGTCGGACCGGTAGTTAAGAGACCCCCAGACGCCCAACTCTCTCAGTTCTGGGAGCTCTCTGAGACGGATCTGTGGTACCCGTGACTTTGATAGCCCATTAGGACAGTATAGGCACAACGTAGTCAGCGTTCGCGGTAGTTCCGTCTTGAGATATCTATCGCCATACCCGGATCTAAAGTTCCGGCTGCAAATCAGCGTCAGCTTGGTCAACCGCAGTTCGGAGAGCCAGAGGGCGTTCAAGGTGGAGGTCGACAGCCGAGTCAATTGTCTTACGCTCCGCCATTGGCACCGTGAAAGTGCAATACCGGGGGAAAGGCTACTCTCGTCCCGGTTAGCATCGTCATTGATCGCCATGTTCTCTCACAGAGGGAGGCGAGGCCGCGATGAGACACTCACTCTAAAGCTCGGAGGCGTTTCATTCTGCTGACCAAGTCCCATATGTCGGCTAAATCCTTTTCATGAATGTTTTCTGTGAAGATATGGTGCAGCTCGCAGGGTTTTCGTGGGAGAAACAGCGTTACGTGCTCGATGTCGCATCCCCGTTCCACGAGTTCGCGCTGCAGTGCTTCACACCTCGACAGAGCCGTCAGGGGATATTGGACTTTCCAGACGTGCGAAGCCGGCCGTATCGGGCAGCAGACGTGGTTGAACAAATCCACTAGATACCAGCAAGTCAACCTGAACGAAGCAGAATCCGGAGGTGTCAACTAGGGCAGACTGTCAGCTGCAAAAAGGAAAAAGATCGACGGACCACTCTCTCCTCACCTCGTGGTTAATCAAGTGTAGGATCTCACCGGGAAGTCGTCCCAGAGGGGATTCCACGAAGGGCAACCTCCGCTGCAGTTCAGCGGCATTGCCGATTTCTCGAGCCTGATTGGCGAGACGGGGCATTTCAGTGTCGACCTGCACATACCGGCCCTGAATTTGTGCATCAGGGCTACACGTAAAAGCGGATACAGGCGGAGAGGCGCCGGTGACGAGGGAACAATCGTGCCCGTGACCCGGATCTTCACACCGTTCCACTCTCCAGGTGAGGAGATTGACTTTCCACCATTGATCGGTCGAAGAACGAAGAACCACTATACCGTCGTGGCTGATATCTAAGACCTGAATCACTTCGTCAAGCATGCAAAACTCCCCGGACTTATGCCATATACCTTCTTCCATCCACCGACTGTCCTCAACATCCAGGAGGGCGTGGAGGGGTCGCCAGTCGTGGCTAAGTACGGAGTCTGGGTTGGGACAGGAGACTTCACCCTTTTCACCCGACTGGAATACAAATGTCTCGCCCGGGGTGCATTTACGCCACTCCGTTCCCAACACGACTAACCGTCCAAAGGGGCTAATTGCCGCCACTACTAGATAGGTAATGCCTCCCAATTCGACTGGGCGGGCACAGGAAAGAAGGGGTGGGTGGCATAGAGGGGGGTCGTCGCTCAAAGACGACCAGGATTGTTCGTCGCTCGAGAGCGATCCCGGCGATTTGTCGCTTGGGGGCGATCCGGGCGGTTCGTCGCTCGGGGACAGAAACGGCCGTGTAGACAGCACCGACCGCTCTTTGGAGACGGAGAGGTCCTTAACCCTGACATGTGATTCCGTACAAACGATCAAGTGTCCCTGGAACACGGAAAGATCAACGATTCGCCAGCTGAAGGAGTGGTCTCCTGGCAGGAAACGAGACACCCCCGAGTCTTGCCACTCTCCAGTGCAGATCCCTCCTGTCGAAAGTCCTACATAGTAGTTCGTTTCATCGAGCGCTAAGTGCTGGGGCTCATGCAATAGTGGACTTAATTGAATCCGGGTGATAGGCTGGTAAGCACCAAGTTCCCATACACGTAGGGTTTTGTCCGTATGTAAGGAAGCTAATAAGTTCCTACAGCCTGTTAGAAACTTTGATGGTAGTCTTTGTACGGAATAATCTCCTCTGATCGTTCCACGCACTTGTGAATAGTATGAGTGATCACAGGGGATTTCGCATGCACCGTGTCTTCGTAGATCCCCGACGGATTCCTAAAGGATAGAGTTGACACCATGATGAAAGTCCACCAGTAGAATAAAGGCAAGACACAACGATAAATCCAACATACTTTAGCAGATAGAAGGCAGATTTTCTTTTGTACTGTCGGCGAAGCGGACAATGGATTGAAGCGCCCAGATAGGATGGGCGTATTCAATATCCCCGTTGAAGGAAATCAAGAGGAAGGACCACCCCAGTCTGTATAAGAAGGTATTCAATAATTCAACGCGTTTTTTTTTAAAAAAAACAAAAAAAAAA